CAAACATATGACAAAAACATACAAATTGGTCCAGTGGTTCAAAAGTTTAGCAAGAGATGATGAGAGATTGAGGAGGGACAAGTCAGCCAGTTTCAACTGGTCTGGCAGTGTCCCTGGGACAACGCCCTGCTGGAGAACAATGGGACAGGAAAACGGGGGAGGGGAAGAGGCACATTCTCCCATGGAATCAAAGGGGCAGAAAAAGTGTTTCAAAATGCAATATGCCCAAATAATGTTTTTAACTGGCAATATCTCCCAGGGGCCATAGTCACAAGGCAGTAGGCTGGCAATTAGTCCTCTCCAGGCACAAGTGGCGAAGGGCACCTAATGCCAGCCAAGGTAATTATAAAGACTGCAACAACTACACATGCAGGGTTAAGGGTGGTGGGAGTTGGCACCCAGACCACTCCAATGGGCAGAAGTGGTCTGGGTGCCTGGAATGTCCGTTTAACTGTGTTATGTGTGGCCGAAATGTCAGATGTGGGTCAAATACGCCTACTGAACTGCCAGTGATCACTTTGCTCACATTCTGCCGCTCGTGAATGCATCAGACATATTTAATGCAGTCATGTGAGTGGTTGGAGGCCCTGTGGGCTTTTCGGAACTCATAATTTGCTGCGGCCAAACACTGACAGCACAGCTGGAGTAGGTAACTTGGAAAGACTGTTCAGGTCGTAGGTTGCTGGAAACTCATGCGCTGAACGGGGGTAACTGGGGGCTGGAAGAATAGGTTGGGGCCTTGTGGATCTGAGGTAACACAAAACCTCGGTAGAGGTTTAATAGTAAGTCAGAGGTGCTGAAAGTTGCAGCCTCAATGTGTCGGCATCCTAGCAAGTTCAAGGTGAGTGGACTGTACTCAGGGGTGAGGGGAAGAACTACACCCATGCAGCCCAGCTCCTCTCTATCTGGGACAGTCAGTACACCTCCGCTGGTTAGCCATCCTCTATACATACATACACACACACTGCTTTAGGCAGAAGTATCTTAATTGAGACATTTATTTTGATCATAAGCATTATGTGACACTGAGGGGATGACCAGCCTTAATGTTCACAAACTTAGACAACTGTTCATTTAACCAATTTTCTCATACTACAGTAAATACATTCAGTAGCAGAATATATGCATTTTACAGGTCCAATTATATTGCACTGTAATGTCCAATGTCTATTTTCTCTGTTGATCTCTTTCTCTTGCTGATAAATCAGAAAATTTAGAGTTACGCACGCACAAAACTAGCAGTTATGAAGGGTCGGCATAAAAATCTCACGGCTTCAGATTAAACAAATTCACAGTGTATAGAAATGAGCCCTGAGCATATGAGAACATTCTGCTGTAATTATATGGTGTAAAACTGCTAAACAAATTACATATAGATCTTTGAATCCATTTTTTTTTCTTTCCTGAGTCATGGCCCAGATCATACACACAGGTACCATTGTTCATTGGCATGCACATGTCAGATTCTGCAGATCCATTACAATAATTATATATGTATCAGTAAATGACAGTACAAACATTTACCTAATGAACCTGATTGCACAGTGTATATCATTTGTACATGTTGAAGTAAATAACGTCTAAACACAAACATAGGGTTCGTAAACCATATTTAAGCTGAAATAGTGGCTAAGAGGCAGGAACGCAGGCTTGGGATGCAGAAGGCCTCAGGAAATTAAACTACAGTCACAAAATAATTTAAGCCCCTTGTGTTAAGCTATATCTCAAAGTGAATAATAAAAACTGTCCAAAACAAAAATTGGTCAAAGCGTAACCCCCACTTAACCCAAAACCTCACATTCTTTCCCAGCTACACCTCCAGTCTTTTTATTCTTTTTCCCCATTTTAATCCTCTCGCTTTTTTACATTTTTGACACAAGGCTGAAGTTGGTTTCTTATTCAGCCAATATCTTACTTGTGGAAGTTGGTTTCTTATGCAAAGTCAACCCCGGTTAGAATTTAAACTAAACTTGTACTTTTTTTTTTATTCGAATAAAATCCGAATTTACAGAATGACCATATGTAAGGGCATACAACTATATAACATCATCAGCGATGTGAGAATATATTCTACTAATAAAGTAAATGTCCTAAGTCCTTTTATACATATTGAATTTACGTCGGCCAGCTGTTATTGCGCATTTTGTACTCACCAATTGGGCATTAGGGCATTAAGTGAGAAACTTTATGACAGCATTCAACAAACTGTATTCGTTTGCTGCCCTTGCAATTTTGAGAGTTCTGGAACGTAGTCCGACAATATATCCTAATGCTCCGTCTCATACTGTACTAGGACATTAATAGGACATTCAACGGGAGCTTCTAAAAGGAATACTCTACTCTGCCTACTATGGAGATTTATGTGACCATATTTCTACTTGGAAGTGTGAGGGGTTTTATTTTTTTATTGTGGTTCTAAATAATTTTTATGTAGTAAGCACTATGATCCTCTAATTTTCTATTTTAGACCACTCACTGAAATTCAATGACTGAGGATATTGGGACTTTTTGATTATTCCTAGTTTGGTATAAGGATTTATGTTTCCTACACCTTTCTAGTTCTGGTATTTCCCTAAGTATCTGGACTTATATAGGACACCTTTTTTTCTGTTGGTTTGAAATTGCTTTTAGAGTGTAGTGTGGTCTGCTGAATTTGATGATTAGCGTAGACCAGTGTTTCCCAAACCAGTCCTTAAGATACACCAACAGACCAGGTTTTGCCAGTATCTCCATTGGAATAAAATAGAGAAAAACATAAATCATGGACTGTTGGTGGGCCATGAGGACTGGTTTGGGAACCACTGGTTTAGATGTTTCCGGTTTTTAGTTGCACACCTAAGGCAATTTTCCCCTGACAGTGTAATTCGTTTTCTGAAATAAAAATGAAGGAAACATGAAAGGAAAGTTAGTGTATGTGTGTAAATGCAGGGCTGTCTTAGTAAAGTGTTATTTTATACCTGTGTAAGTGTATGTAAGGTTGTCTTTGTTAGGTATGTCGTGTGTGTGTGAATGCAGGGTTGCTTTTTTAGGGTGTGAATGCCTGCCAATTTATTTTTTTGGAAGTTACTGAGGTTTTAGCCCACTTTATCTATCTCTGTCCCACACAATTTAAATCTCCAAACTATCTCACAACACTTGTACAGTCCCAACCTCCATCAAACACTCCTGCTTCTCCTATTCCCTCCACTTGTGTATGCCCTGACCGCAATTATGTCTTTCTATACCCAAACCCGCAGCTCTCCTTTCACCTATCATCAATCCTATTCCATCACTTGTGGTTCCACCCACAGAACTCTGTCCACGGAATTCTGTAGGAACTAGGATTCCCCTGAAAACGGATGCCAGCAACTGCTTTAAAAGCTTAATAGAATTGCCTAAACTGGAATGCTGGGTTTCGTAACTATAGTAGGTGCTGAATATTAGGTCAGCTTCAAGAGTGCCATAAAAGGCTGCCTTAGCCAGTTGGAGACATCTAAAAGATGTCCACAACTCTCCCCTTACTGCAGAGGTTGGGCCACTCACTAGCTCTGGCCTTGGGTCCCAACATAAGTGCCCAAGTGGCAAAATCCATGCATGCACAGCAGTGACATCACAAGTGGCGACTGTAGTAACTGGAGAGGCAAATAGTGAACCCTCTTTTCCTGAACACCTCTCTCTCTGTGCAACAAAAGGAAGTGATGTGCAATTACTTTCTCCCAGCACAGCGCACGCATACAGGAACATCCAAAGCCTATTATGGTTGATAGGAAATGTGGACATGTCTGGGAGTTGTTTTTGCTGGGACAGAAGCCCAAAAAACATTTGACTGTCCCATCAAAAATTGGACAATTGGCAACTATGAAGGAGATCTATGATCATTCCTGCTGCCCCAAGGCCACAGCTTCGGTGGCTTCATGGGAAATCCAAAATGGATTTCCCTCCCCCTAAATGCAGTTGTCATACAAGTTTGTAATGTATTGGAATAATAAAAATAAAAAAACCACAAAAAAAACAAAAAAACACATATACAAATTTAGTTTAAAGTCTAAGGAGCGCAGACTCCAAAAAACAAACAAAAAAAAAAAAACTGGCCGAATAAGAAACCTTACATTATATAAGTGAATTTTTGGTACCAGGTCTCATATTACTATTTCTGAGTAGGAAACAATTGTAAATTGAACTTCTGTAAACATGCCCAATGACATTTTGAAATTGCTAGTGTTCTTAACTTTATTAATAAAAACAGTGAATAAAATGGGAAGAAAGAATAAATAAAAATTTTAAACAAGGTCCATCTCCCATTTTGGTTATGGGACATGTTACGAGAAAATAAACAAAATCTCTCCATGGTTGACATAAAGATCCCCCTTCGCCAAGTAAACCACAATATTTGAGAACACATCTGATTTAAATATAAATAACAAAATAGTTATAAGCAAATGTTCCTAAATGTATTTTTAACCAAGGCTCTAATTCGATTTCTACCATAGCTGCTGTAGCGCATATACAATGATTAAATGTTTATCTTCAAATAGTTAAAGGCTCTTTAGCAGCGCAATGAAATAAAAACTTTCTGGCCGCAACCAAGGGCTAAGCTAATGAAACAGGATGGTTTAGCACATAGCCTAGTGAAAAGTGACCTCTACCACCCCTAATACTGTGAACTACAACTCACATGATACTTAGCCAGCTTGGTAGGTCAAATTGGGAAATATAGTGCACAACCTATGTAATATATGCTTATAAAATAAGTCTTCTTCAAAACTGTCCTCAGAATCCACTAAGAGGAAAAATGTTGAGGATATCCCGGTTTTCATCGTAGGCTTTAACATTGTTTATTGAAAACTTAAGCATCAAATCTTAGACTGCAGCAGTGTCCTGAGAACAGGTTTGATGAACACAGAGCTAACCAATCAGATGATGTTGTTCCCTTTCTCAATAAGCTATTTTGTATTACACAAAGATAATACTGCCTGGAAAGTATGATGAGCATTTTTAGAACAAAGAACATATGGAACACATCATTGGTCTTCAGAGGACTCTGTTGTACCACCTTCCTCTTCTTCCTGAAGGAATAAAAAGTATATTTGTATATTAAAATTGACTTGCTTGAACTGCTCATAGCATATGGATCTGAATTCTAAACTAGTCATAACTCTTCAACCATAGTTCACCTACCTGCTTTGTAGAAGAAGGTCGACCTCTAGCACTACCTGCAGTTGTTCCTTCAGATTTCTAAACAGAGACAAAACAATCTAGGTTACTGACCAGTCTGAACATTTAATAGATTAAGAAAGGCAACAAAAGTAAAGTAACAAAAGTAAAAGCCAATAGATTTGTGAACACTTAGCAGCTCACCAAGTAGTTATGAATTCAGCGGTACATTCTTCAAACTGGCAATTTTGAATTGATGCAAAAATCAACGGGCAAAAATGCATTGCCTGCCAATTTCTTCAAAATACCGACCAAACAACATAAAACAGCCGCACACTCAACATTACCAATGTTAGTGGAAAACACACTGCTCCTACCCCATTAAATTTAATTAGGCTTTTTAGGCTTGTGGACAGAAAAAGAAGTGGCCCCACAACTTGGGTTTAACTTACAGGGTTAATTGCTAAATTAAGAATGCAAAGTGAATTCAATGTGGATATCAAATTTTAGGCTAAAGCAACCAAATTGGAAGCATACCTGACAGATCATTTTTGCAGTTTAGGTTATTTTGGCCGTGAAGGGACACTATAGTCACCAAAACAAGTTTAGCTTTATTAAGCAGTTTTGGTGCATAGATCATGCCCCTGCAGTCTCACTGCTCAATTCTCTGCCATTTGAGAGTTAAATCACTTTGTTTATGTACCCTAGTCACACCTTCCTGCATGTGACTTACAAAGCCTTCCTAAACACAACAAGTAAAGAGTCATCTAATATTTACACTTCATTTATTGCAAATTTTGTTTCATTTAGAATTTATCTCATGCCCTGTTAATAGTTTGTTAGACCCTGCAGGGGGCTCCTATATGTGATTTAAGTTTAATTTACAGAGCAGGAGATAAAAACTAAAAACTGTATGCTTGCTAAACGTGCTTCTGTTGACCAGAAAGGGAAACTATTTCCAATAGTGGACAGAAAAGGTAAAATATTTCTTAATTATTCAAAAATATTACACCAGATTTCTCTATAAACCTATCCAACCACAATATTTTCACAACAGTCAACTCTTTATTCCTGGTACACAAAACAATCTTGGTAACTTTAAAGGACCACTATAGAGCCAGGAAAACAAACTCGTTTTAATGGCACTATAGTATTAATAGGTCCCCCCCCCCACCCTCATGATCCCCCTCCCGCCGGGCTGAAGGGAGAGGAAGGGGTTAAGAACTTAAGGCCTATAGTGTTCCTTTAAGTTATTAGATGGCTATGGCTAGCTTAGCTGTAAGCACAGGAAGGCTGGCGAGGGAGCAATTACCGCACAGGCCATGGTCATGGGAGTGCTGGCAAGGTGTTCCTGGAGTGCTGGCAAGGTGTTCATGCAATTCTTTTGAAAATTAAAATATTGAGTGGTATGTCAGGATGCCTGTACAGTTCTGCAGGAATGAGGCAACAAGCAGGAATTTTAAGGTTTGCTAGCCTTACACAGTGTGGGTTTGTACATTTGGTTTCACTTTTATCAACAGCTTCTTCTCATCCTCCGCAATATTGGTCTACAAGTTATTGCTTTCTCCTGGTGCTCCACCTCCCACTCCCAGCACTTTTTCAAGTTTTTTTTTTCTTTGGCTCTGCTTCTTCTCCCAAACTCCTCTCTGTTGGGGTCCCCCAAGGTTCAGTTCTTGGTCCCCTACTATTCTCTATCTATACAGCCCAGTCCAATGCCCTTTCTCGCCTGGACTACAGCCAGAACGGCCTTTAACCCCTTTAGGTCCAAACTTCTGGAATAAAAAGGAATCATGACGTCACATGTCATGTGCCCTTAAGGGGTTAAACACTGGTATTAGAGAGTCATTTTACTAGGAGTGACATTTCAAAGTTTGAAGAGGTCTTAAAAGCATGCGTGAAAAAGAGAATGTAATTACTGCACATGCCCATACCTCCTAGAACTATCATAACAAAAAGTTACAGTAAACAATACCATAGGGCCCTTCCTATAAATACCTAAACAGAACAGCTTGAATTAAGTACGCCATAAGAGAAGCAGCAAAATTGGTGATGTGCAATCACAGAACACAATTAAAAAATTTGTTTAGTTTTAGGGAGGTAGAACTCACCTTGGTATTTAAAGGTTTCTTGCTGGTTCCTTTTTTAGTGCTGCCTTTAGGACGTCCCCGTGCTCGTTTTCTTGTAGGGGAGCCACTTGACTCCTGTAGCGTTAAAAAAAAAAAAAAAAAAAAAGGCTAAATATTGACTTTTAATATCAACAACCACAGCACTACAAAGGTCAGGTATCTTAAACATAAACACTGATGTTTTATAATTTTTTTTGTATAAAACCTTGAAAATCACCTATAAAAAGGTGTGTTAAGCCTTCTTCATGAGATGCACAATTCTTTATCAAAGATTTAGCAAATTACATCATACTCCAGTTCCATAGGCGTGCGCACAGGGTGTGCCTGGGCACACCCTAATCACACCTCCGTGCTGCACTACCTTTGGGCAGACTAACATGTCGGGTCCTCGGTCGATGACCGAGGACCAGACACAGGAGGGGGCCCGTCGACTTGCCCACAATGCCGCCGGGTGCGAGGCCCCTCCGGTCAGTCTGCCCTGACCGAGATCCAACCTCAGTCTGCAGCTCCACCGGGAGTGAGCTGCAGACTGAGGTGTCTCGTGATCTCCAGCCTGTTAGAGCGTTACCATGGCAATGCTCTGCCTGGAGATCACGAGACTCACCATGTGGTCTGCAGCACACTCCCGGCGGAGCTGCAGACTGAGGACGCCCACTGGACCACCAGGGAAGGTATTTAAACCCCCCTCTGCCCACTGTCACTCACTGCCCCCCGACCTCCCCTCTACCCCCTGTCACTCACTGCCCCCCCACCCTACCCCCTGGCACTGCCCCTCTAACCCCCGTCGCTGCCCCTCCACACCACTAACCCCTGTCGCCCACACAGTGCACCCCTCACAATCACACACCGCACCTATGATATTTGTATACACACACACACACATATATATATATACATACACACACACACACACACACACACACACGCAGCGTGCGTGTTTCTGCTTTAAGGTGCACACCCTAATGCAACAGGCTGCGCACACCTATGTCCAGTTCCATAAGGCAAAGCCAGGACAAACATTGCAGTTGAGGAGGAGAAATGTTTAATTTCTTCTCTTTTCTGTGTTTTAATTCCCTCTATGCTGACTGCCCTACAGCTTAATTTAGTGACTCTGATATCGATTATCATCATCATAATCATCATCATCGCCACTTATATTGTGCCAACAGATTCCGTAGCGCTTTACAATATAATGAGAGGGGGGATTTAGCTATAAATAGGACAATTACAAGAAAACTTACAGGAACGATATAGGACCCTGCTCAAACGAGCTTACAGTCTATAGGAGGTGGGGTATAAAACACATTAGGACAGGAAATAGCAATCAAATAAGTTGGGAGTGAAGCAGAGCTGGAAGAGACAGTAAAGTGCTGCCTATTAGGAGATAGCAAGAGACAGTTATGTGAGGTAGAGGTTACTCTGTGAGGCCATAAGCTTTCCTAAAGAGATGGGTTTTAAGGCACTTCTTAAACAATTGAAGACTAGGGGAGAGTCTGATGGAGGTAGGTAGACTATTCCATAGGAAGGGGGCCGCTCGCGAGAAGTCCTGCAAGCGTGAGTTGGCTGTACGGGTGCGAGCAGCGGACATAAGGTGGTCACGGGCAGAGCAGGGAGGCAGAGAAGAGGCATAACTATGGATCTGTGAAGAGATAAGAGGTGCTAGAATTGTTCAGTGCTGTATAGGTATAGGTTAGCAATTTGAATTGATTCCTATAGGATACAGGGAGCCAATGTGAGGACTGAGAGGGGTGAGGGGACCGACTAGAGAGGAAAAATCAGGGCAATATGGCTTTTGGGAGGACCAATTAGGAGAGGATTACAATAATCCATGTGGGAAAATATTACAACATGGACAAGCTACTTGGTAACATCTTGCTTAAGAAAGGGGCGGATGTGGGCTATGTTTTTAAGATGGAATCCACAGGATTTGGCAACCTACTGGATGTGAGCCTCAAAGGTGAGGCCAGAATAAAGTATGATGCCAAGACAGCACGCTTGCAAGGATGGACTTATGTGGATACCACTAACTTGAAGGGAGAGCGAAAGAGGAGGATCATTATTAGGAGGAGGAAAGACAAGGAGCACAGTTTTGGAGAGATTGAGTTTTAGAAATGGGAGGACATCCAGTCAGAGATGGAAGAAAGGGAAGCAGTGACACGTTGCAGGACAGCAGGGGAGAGGAGAGATATATCTGGGTGTCATCAGTCTGCAGGTGGTAGTTGAATCCAAATGAGGTAATAAGTTTTCCAAGAGAGGCAGTATAAAGAGAAAATAGAAGGGGACCAAGGACAGAGCCTTGAGGGACTCCAACCGAGACAGGACGAGGGGAGGAGGCATCATTAGAAGAGGAGACACTGAATGAGTGTTGGGAGAGATAAGAGGAAAACCACAAGAGGACAGAGTCACAGAGACCGAGTGATTAGAGAGTTTTAAGAAGGAGAGCATGATCAATGTCAAAGGTAGCAGAGCGGTCAAGAAGAATTAGTATGGAGTAGTGGCCTTTGAATTTAGCAGCGATTAGGTCATTAGTAAATTTGTTAAGAGCAGTCTCAGTAGAGTGGAGAAAGCGGAAGCCAGATTGAAGAGGGTCAAGGAGAGGTGGAATTGAGGAAGTGAGACACACGGGTAAAGACAAGTCTTTCCAGAAGCTTTGAGGAAAAAGGGAGCAGGGATATGGGCCGGTAGAGGGGGAGGAAGGGTCAAGAAGTGTTTTTTTTTCAGGATAGGTACTACAGTGGCATGTTTAAGGTCAGCAGGACCAACGCCAGAAGAGAGAGAGAGCGCAGTTGAAGAGGTGTGTTAAGGAAGGCACAAGAAATAACGATAGCTAAATATTCAGACAAACAAATGCCTAAGTAAACAAGATTTTAGCAAAATAAACAATCATTACATTCTTTACCTAAAACAGACAAAGACTAGTCAAATAGGCCTGCCTAGTAACACCTCTAGAGGCAGTCACTCAAAGGGCCACTAAAGTGTCTCCTGTCTTGCAGCACCTACATTCAGCATGGAAGCGGTGCTGAACGTTCCCCATAGTGATGCATTGCTTTAATGCTTCACTATGAGGAGATGTTGATTGGTAATTGATAATCTCAGTTATGGAAGAGAGCCAGCTCCAGCAGCGAGACTGGCACAGCGTTGGAAAAAGGGGAGTAAAGACATAATTCCCATGCGAGCGGAGGGGGGCTGGTGACCTAAACATACACATTCACTGACAGACGGGCACACACAGACAGACACACAACAAGGAACACAGGCAACACTACAAGGTCTGTGATGTTTTCTTTATTGTAGGGTAAAAAAAAATAATAAAAAAAAGCAACATTTCAGCTATATAGAATTGCTGTTGCACTCTGACTTCTGCAGATTGCGGTGTCTGCTATTTTTTACAGAGCACCTCCCAGATAGATGGCCAGATTGTTGATTGGAACCTGAGTGCGGGGTGAATTGTTTCTTGAGACACTGACAGACACAGACAGACTGTCTGAAATCAGGCGATCGGGTCTGTGGAATGCGGGCGGGCGGTGAACAGAGCAGGTTTTTACCAGGTGTTCTGCAAGCTTACACCGGCGCACAGAGAGCCAAGTCAGAATTGAGACAGGAGGAGGGGGGCGATGGCTTGACCAATCCCAGGCACCAGGGCAAAATTCTTAGTCGCCATGGTAATCAGGGATTTGTCATTCATATTGGCCATTTTAACAATCAGGACTATAAGGGAATGTATTTTGAGTTTGTTTAGTTGTACTTGGTGTGTAGAAATTATTAAATGTAAAACTGAAGAGAGGGGGGGCATTTTTTTTTTTAAATATAGTGCCTACAGTGTCCCTTTAATATTGCACTATGTATACATGTAGGATATAAAATAAAAAATATTTTTTTATTATACACTTGATGTATGGGTGCACCTAAAAAGAAAGGGAAAATTGTGGTAGAAGGAATGCATGGCCAAAGGGCTAAAAAGGCCTTGGTCACAAAACACGACACATCTCAAAAAAGTCTTGGTCCTTAAGGGGTTAAACTGCATTACTGAAATAAAACAATAACTTTATATACCTTTTATATAGCATACATTTTTCTTGTATTTGCATAAACATCAATGTTTGTTAGCTGAAGTGGTAAAACAAATACCTTTAAAAATGTAGGCTGCATTGGTTTGCCTGCTTATCTGGGTGATGCGCATCTGGCTTCTGCACAGCTGCAGAGAATTGACATCAGCCAGCCTGGAAATCTTCTTCATGGCTAACTAATGATGTACTAGTGATAATGTTGGAGGTGAAGTTACACCTCTGTCAGCAATATACATATCTCAGAATTTCACAGTGAGAACACGCCAGCGTCCATAGGAAAGCATTATGAATGCTTTCCTATGTGACCGGCTGAATGCGCGCGCAGCTCTTGCCGCGCGTGCGCATTCAGCCGACGGGGAGGAGAAGAGGAGGATCAGAGGAGGAGAGCTCTCCGCCCAGCGCTGGAAAAAGGTAAGTTTTTACCCCTTTCCCCCTTCCAGAGCCGGGTGGGAGGGGGACCCTGAGGGTGGTGGCACCCTCAGGGCACTATAGTTCCAGGAAAAGGAGTATGTTTTCCTGTCACTATAGTGGTCCTTTAAGGGAATTCGGCATTCAACTCTACAACTCATAGGCACCAGGAGTGATACAATTTTATCATCAGTATCTCGATCAATTATTGGCTTCTTTGAACACAGTGCTCCACTTCTTGAGTTTAGGACATACAGTGAGAGAAAAAAAAAAAGAAAAAAAAAAAAAGTATTTGATCCCCTGCTGATTTTGAAAGTTTGTCCACTGACAAAGAAATGATCAGTCTATAATTTTAATGGTAGGTGTATTTTAACAGTGAGAGAGAATAAAAAAAAATTCCAGAAAAACGTAGGTCAAAAAAAGTTATAAATTGATTTACATGTCAATGAGTGAAATAAGTATTTGATCTCCTATCAATCAGCAAAATTTCTGGCTCCCAGGTGTCTTTTATACAGGTAACGAGTTGGGATTAGGAGCACTGTCTTAAAGGGAGTGCTCCTAATCTCGACTTGTTACCTGTATAAAAGACACCTGTCCACAGAAGCAATCAATCAGATTCCAATCTCTCCACCATGGCCAAAACCAAAGAGCTGTCCAAGGATGTCAGCTTGGTGAGAAGGTGACAACAGTTGGTGCAATTATTCACAAATGGAAGAAACACAAAATAACCAAGTCTCCCTCGGTCTGGGGCTCCATGCAACATCTCACCTCGTGGAGTTTCAATGATCATGAGAACGGTGAGGAACCAGCCGAGAACTACACGGGAGGATCTTGTTAATGATCTCAAGGCAGCTGCGACCATAGTCACCAAGAAAACAATTGGTAACACTATGTTGCTAAGGACTGAAATCCTGCAGCGCCCGCAAGGTCCCCCTGCTCAAGAAAGCACATGTACAGGACAATCTAAATTTTGACAATGAACATCTGAATCATTCAGAGGAGAACGGAGTGAAAGTGTTGCGGTCAGATGAGACCAAAAATCGAGCTCTTTGGCATCAACTCAACTGGCCGTGTTTGGAGGAAGAGGAATGCGGTCTATGACCCCAAGAACACCAGCCGCACCGTCAAACATGGGGATGGAAATATGCTTTGGGGGTGTTTTTCTGCTAAGGGGACAGGACAACTGCACCGCATCAAAGGGACTATGGACAGGGCCATGTACCATCAAATCTTGGATGAGAACCTCCTTCCCTCAGTCAGGGCATTGAAAACGGGTCGTGGATGGGTATTCTAGCATGACAATGACCCAAAAACACACAGCTAAGGCAACAAAGGAGTGGCTCAAGAAGAAACAAATTAAGGTCCTGGAGTGGCCTAACCAGTCTCCAGAACTTAATCCCATAGAAAATCTGTGGAGGGAGCTGAAGATTCAAGTTGGCAAACGTCAGCCTCGAAACCTTAATGACTTGGAGAGGATCTGCAAAGAGGAGTGGGACAAAATCCCTCCTGAGATGTGTGCAGCCCTGGTGGCCCACTACAAGAAACGCCCGACCTCTGTGATTGCCACCAAGTACTAAGTCGAAGGGGTCAAATAAATACTTCTCAATCATTGACATGCAAATCAATTTATAAACTTTTCTGACATGCAATTTTCTGGATTTTAATTTTTTTTTGTTATTGTGTCTCTCACTGTTAAAATACACCTACCATTAAAATTATAGACTGATCATATCTTTGTCAGTGGGCAAACATTCAAAATCAGCAGGGGATCAAATACTCTTTTCCATCACCGTACCAGGCCATAAATCTCTACAAGTTGGCCATTTCCGCTGGACATAGTGGTTTGGACAGGTCTCTTGTTGGTGCCATTCCTTTGTATGTTGAATTAAGGATATTCAGTTTGCTCAATATTCAGATGTTAATGTTGTCTTGATCTTTCTTGACTTGCGACCTGCAGAATCTTGAACTTTCTTTTCACGTCTTAAATGCAAAAAGATTTCCATGCTTCTATGTTTTCTCTCCTGTAAGGGTGAGTTGGATGCTCGGAATTTGGATTCTGATGCACGCTCTTACATTCCCAATGAGGTTTGACATCTCAGTTTGAAGAGGTATATGAGCAAGCCGGTCTTTTGGGGAATCCTAATTTGTGCCCGGTTCTGTTCCTGAAAGCATATGATTACAAGGCTTCTCTACAGCCACTGCACTCAGTTTCTACAGCTACTTTGGATCGTGTGGTTAAATGGCTCTTATTATTGTCAGGGATTGAAATTTCTATCTATACATGTCATTCTGTCCGGGCTTGAAGGCTTCAATAGTTGGTAGTTGATTTAAATATATCCTGAAGGTGGCAGATTGGTCCTGAGTCAACTTCCTCTGATTTTTACTTGAGGCCTTTTTGACATTTTCAGGTTATTGCTCAGCTTTGAATGAACAGAATAGGAACGGTTTCTCTAATAAAGTTCCTGGATTTTACCATTTACATGATAAAGTTATATATTTTTTAAGTCTTTATTTTAGCAGTGCAGGCTTGCATGAATATATAAAAGGTTAAGTTTGGTAATTTAGATTACAGAGGTAACATGTAATGTGAAGAAAACTGCACTTAAAAAAAAAAAAGGTAAAATAAAGCTTGCAAGTGAGTAAGGTCAGAAATAAAATAAGATAAGATAACACGAGACTGATAAACTAGGCAAACTGACACCACAAGAGAGAACACAGAGGAAAAGAAAACATTTTTATTTACTGTAAATTTATTTTTCCTGAAGATTAGAGGCAGTGCATATATATATATATCCAAATTTCTTTGTTATTTGACTGAAGATCTGGTAAGAAAGGGACCATTCTGCTTTCTTTAAATGTTGTCGACTTAGAGCGTCTGCCAGCACGTTGAATTCTCCTTTTATGTTAACAGAAATTGACAGAAGGTGGAACTCTGACCACAGCATGATTCTGGAACACAGATCTTCCAAACCAGTTTACATTGTTCCTCCGTGTTTGTTTATATATGCTACTGTTGTAGAATTGACTGACCTGATCTGGACATGTGGATTCTGGATCTGATTCTAAAAAGTAATGAGAGACAGCCTTCAGTTCTTTGTAGTCTTAAATCTTTTACTTGCCAAACTCCTGGTTTCTTCTTTTCACGCAAATGAGCCGAGACCTGAGGAGTCTTAAAATTTTGAACAACTTCATTTGGAAAGAAAGACCTGATTGCTGGAAACGGGATGAGGTCCACCAGAGGAAAAAAAACTTAAAAAAAACTAAAAAAAAAAAAAAAAAACCTCTACAGCGCATGACTGTTGAGTTTCATAGGCCTGTCCAAGCTGTGAAAAGACCCAGCAAACTCATTGCTTCTCTGATGGAGTACAAACTTCTTTCTCTGAGGTTCTGAATAGCCAGAGCAATCTTCAGTCTTCTTTCTCCTGGAAGGAAGATCTTCATAGAGAGTGTGTCTATAAATCAGACCCAGGAACTGAATTCTTTGGACTGGGACTCATTCCGACTACAAAATTTATCAACCATGATTTTTTAGAGAGTCTAAAGCTGTACTGAGGTCTAGATAAAGTTGTTCTTTCGAGTCTACAATCAAAATCCAGTCGTCTAAATAAGGGATGACATTGACGCCTTTTCCCCTTAAATCTGCGGAAACGACTACCAGAATCTTTGTGAACACTCTTGGGGCTGAAGACGGACCAAAGGGAAGAGCTCTGAACTGATAATGTAGAGTCTGACTCTGGAAATTGATAGCGAACCTTAGGAATCTTTTGGGGAGTTCAGAGATGGGAATGTGTAAGTAGGCATCTTTTAGATCCAGAGAAAATCAGCCAATTGCCTGGTTGAATGTGAGTTGCGGACTTTATTGTTTCCATATGAAACTTTTTTAGCATAAACTTGTTGACGGTCTTGAGATCTAGAATGGGTCTGAAAGAATCATGTGGCTTTGGAATCAAAAAGAGTCTTGAATAAGTGCCCAGAAATCTCTTTTAGATGCACACTATGATATACTTTTGAAGAAGCTTTGACACTCCCATTAGAGCCTTTTCTGTCGCAGTAGAGCATAAGAATTTTCTTTTTGGGATCTCCGATAGATCCAGATAGTAACCATTCCTTATCACTGAAAGAATCCAGCGATCCGAGGTAGTTTTTGGCCAGTAATGCAGAAAATGAGTGAGTCTTCCTCCAACAGGAACGGCGTCATAAATTTCTATTCCTTTTGTCAGGGAACTTCTCTTTTCTCCTGTAATCAAACACCTTCCTTTGTTGTAAGTGTTCTTCTGAAATGATCCTCTGAAAGCGGAGAGGTGATCTGTGCAGGGATACTGTCAGGAAGAGAGGGGAATCATAAATCCCTGTTGTAAAGCACAGTCTCTAATCTGGAGGGAAAAAATAAGTTTATATTTTGAGTTCAAGATGCTCGCCCTGAGAGATAGATATAAGTGAATGAGCACAAGACAGACAAACTGAATGAAAGCCGCAAACAGTAGGTAGGAGCATAGACAGTGGCAATAGACCAAATGTGATAGCCTGTGTACATTGTCGATATGGTGAATGCAGCTCACTCAACCTATGCCTGTGACATTCAAGCCAAATCCAGACGGGTGTGTGAGGGAATTTGTGCCACTCATGGCGCCCAAAAGGCACGGAACCACTATAGCCACAGGCAGTAACATGAACCAGCATCCAATGTCCACAGGCCTCTCTTTCCGTCACTAGGAGGAAGCCTCGAAATCCCAGGTGATATTTCACCCAGGTGCATGGGCTACAGACATGTGCATGAACCTTCTCGGTTCCAGCCAAAGGAGGGGGGCTGCGAACAGGAGAGCGGAGGGTATTATTACCGCCCTTTCTACTCTATCTACTTATTTGTTTGTCTTCTTTATGTTAAGTGCATTTAGTTCTTGGGTGGAAATTTTAATCTACTGGCTTGTTTTATTTTCTCTATTTGTACTGTATTTCTTCTGCATTTCTCGATTGCATTATGTTTTTATATGCAATGACTTTGTTCATTTTTATCAGATTGCCTTGATTTGTTTATAACTTTCATTGCCATATTTTTTTTCCTAGCCTAATTTTCTTCATCAACTTGTATTTGTCAGCAGTTTTATTGACCTTTATATCAGGTTCTTGTTTGGATCTAAAGTTTTATTACAGTGGATTCTGTTCTTCAGCATTACAAAAAAAAAAAAACAAACAACAAAAAACACCATTTCAATGCTACTATGGAAATTATTTGGCTATTTTACTTTCTGCAAAAATACAATACAAATGACAAATACCTGTACTTTTTGTTTAAAAGTACATGGCCTACAGCCTAAATCCACTAAACCACAGTCCCGTCACCAAAATCAGCACTAGATAAATACACTCATAGCTGATTCATCCTATGATTAATCATTATAAAAGTAGATCAAAACTAAGATATATACATATATAGATATATACACTGCAGTAAAAAACAAAACAAAAAAAAAACAACAAAACAAAAACAAAAAAAAACAAGCTGTCTCACCCACAATTAACGTGGGAATCCATGAGACAAGAAGTGATAATGCCAATGTGTATTTACAACTGTTGGTTGTTAAGGGATCAGAAGCCGTAATTAAGCAATATGACAGATGGATTCAATGTTTGAACTGGCAAATATGCAATAAAGCAATTGCCAGTTTAATCTGAGAAATCTCATTGATGTACCAGGGGCGCCAATTGTTCCTAGTGTTGTCAAAACCTTCACTAGTGAGGCAAAACAGCACACCCACACATACAAAAAACTGTACCACTTAAAATGCACTTTCAGATAAGGAAAAAGGGCTATGAGGAGATGATTGGCGTTTTGCTGTGCATGCGCAAAACCTCCCAGTGCTTTCCTATGGGAAAGCATCGGCTTGGCTAAGATCATTAAGATTAATGATTTCAGCCATAGAGGCAAGGCCATCCATGGCGTGACTGCACAGCGTGGGAAAGAAGGTGAGTAAAAACACCTTTCCCATGTGATTGAAAGGCTGCCGGTCACCTAAACAGACACACTTACAGACAGACAAACAATCACTGATTTGACACACACAGATACTGCAACACGCAGTTATCCTACATTGAAAAATTATATCCTTGAATATTCTGTTTTTGCTCTGTTCCCCAGCTGTTTAGGGATGCTGGGGCGCTAGTGACATCATATTCTGGGACCGAGCACCACAACATGTGATGGAGCAGAGCAAGAAGATTACAATTCCCCGGCTCCATCCACCGCTCTCAGTCAGCCGGTCACCTCGGGAACTGATCGGGCTGACAAACACCCAGATGCTAGGACACAATTCCTACTCAACATGGCGACTTGGGAGACATTGTAACGAAAAAAACCCATCAAATGTGTCTCACAAATACTCATGTAAAATAAATAGTTAACCCCTTAAGACCGGAGGGCGTACTATTACGCCCTATTTTAGGCGGCTCTAAACGCCGCCAGGCGTAATACTACGCCCTCCGGTCTTTCCCAGGGAGCCCCCCCGCAGCAGATCCTCCTCCTCCGGTGCCCCCGGCCATGTGAGAGTGAGGTCCTCACAATCACATGGCCGGGATAGCTGGCTCTGCATTGCCAGCAGGGGGACTGCCTGTAATGACAGTTAGTCCCCCTGCTGGCTGAAAATAAAATAAATAAATGTTAAAAGTGTAAAAAAAAATAATATATACTTAGATCATATATATATATATATATATATATATATATATATATATATATATATATATATATATATATATATACACATATACATATACACACACACACACACACATATATATATACATATACACTGTATAGGTGTATTTTACTATTTATATATAAATATCAAATTACACGTAGACTGATACTGATTAAAATATATAAAAAAATTAAATATGTAAATACGTAAAAAAATAAAATAAAAATGTAAAAAATATATAGATGTGTGTTATTTCGTTTTAACTGTATTGTGATAATATATATATATATAATATATATATATATATATATATCTCAAAATACACATGGAACAAAATAATATATATATATATATATATATACATACACACACACACACACACACATATATATATATATATATACACACACACACACACACACACACACACTAATTCTACATGTATATTTATGTAATATTTTTTACATAATTGGGTATCTAAAAAAGACTGGACATACCCCATTTGCAATACCTTGGGTTGTCTACTATTGCAAATGGTATGCCATTATGGGTGTAAATTTCATTCCTGGGCTACTATACAGTCTCAAAGGCAACGTAACCAATCTGGTGAATTTCAATTTCAAATGTAACGTGCTATATTTGACCCTGTAACTTCCCAAAATGCCATAAAACCTGTACATAGGGGGTACTGTCTTACACGTGAGACTTTACTGAATACAAATATGTGTATTTTATTGCAGTAAAAGCAAACAGTATTATGACATTGACCGTTAAAATGTCATGTAGAACTAAAAAAATCAAAAAAATCGTATTTTCTCCCATTTTTTTCATATTAAATTATGTTTCATAGCTAAATATTTGATATTAAATGAAAGCCCTGTTTCCCCTGAATGATATATAATAAGGGTGGGTGCATTTACTATGAAAGAGGTGTATTACGGTTGGACAGACATGTAGCGCAAATGCCAGGTTTTGTTTACATTTTGTTTTGTTCACAACGTGTACATTTGGCTCCGTCCTTAAGGGGTTAAATTATGCTTATTTAGAAAGTTATATTAAAGGGTCACTGTAGGGACCGAGACCACTTCAGCTAATTAAAGTGGTCTAGGTGCTACATTGCAGCTCTAAGTCTGCCCACAGTGATTCAATGCTTTCCTATGGGGAGGTCTAATGCGTGGGCGACATTAGCCGTGCATGCGCATTAGCGCCCGCACATTGCAGGCCGTTGGAGTGGGCAGAGCCAGGACCCAGCGCCGAGGGAGCTACGGTGACAGGAATACAGCTTTGTATTCCTGGCACTTATAGTATCCCTTTAAGAAATTAACCCATGGTATATAACTGAAATTCAGAATCATGATGTTTTAGTTTGTACAAGGGTAGTCCTGGCTGGTACAGATTAGCATGTTTTTTCCTAAACAATGTGGCTTTGCTTGCACCTACATCCTACAATTACTCTTCTCTGTCACCAGGTATGAATTTGTGTAATGTAAATGGCATTGACAGATTGAGAATACTAATAATTCATACTAAAGAACTAAATTAGCCTTTCCCAAGCGTAATATAATATATATATATATATACACATATATACACACACACACACTATTGTTCTCACCTGGGTTTTTTTCCGTGGGCGCCCTCTACCACGCTTCTCTGATGAGTCCTCATCTGCCATTACCCCTTTGGGTGAAGATTTTACCTTTGAGTCACTCATGTCTGAATTTCTGGAAGAGAAGAGGAGATAAGTAGATCCTCTTTCAGCTGTGTGAACAACATTACATTTTTATTGCCAGACCAAGAGCAGAGATACCAAAATTTGAAATGGTTAATAGGTCATTTTAAGGGTTAATAAGAGTGTGTTGTGGGGGGGAGGGGGTTCATATAAATACCCTTTTCTATAGCAGAGATTTATATCATTTAGCTGAAAACTGCAAGCTGAATTATCAGCGGACTGATCTAAGAGGTTTGCCATGACATGACAGGTGAACTCCGCCCTTTCATGCGCATTGGAGCGATGAATGTGTATGGCATTTGTGATGGTACCCGTAATTCTTTCGTTTTTTGGGCTGAACAAGAGTAGTGGAAGTTTGAGCGCAGGGCTTTATTTTATGGACAATAACACATAGAACCAAGAATGTCTTTAGAAAGTAGGGAAAGCTTAAATAGGTGTCCTTATTTAGGGATCATACAAGTGCATATCTGAGATGAACAAACTGCAATTGTACCACTACCACAGAGCAGTCAAGGTTATTTAGGCATTGACAATATTTCAAATGGTGACTGAGTATCCTGGGGCTGTTTTTGCTAGGAAGTGAATGAGAATGAAAATTTAATGAGTTGAGAGAGAGAAAATAAAAAGAGCTATGCAATTAAAAAAAAGAGAAAGAGTGGAGATCGGATAGCATGGAATGAAGAGGGCAAACATATTTTTACAAAATAATGTCAAAACGTACACCTAAAAGCCAAGAAGCAAACAAAATCAAAGTAGGTGCAATCTTTTACTCCAGCAGTACCTAACACAAACGATATAGAAATGCACACCAAAAAAAGTTTGCAAAATATATTAGTTATGTAAACATAAGGATAAAATCAAAATAATATAAGTGAAAAATTCAAAAACGGTACTAGATGAATCTGAAGAGCTGAAAAAAAAATATTAAAATAAAAAAGCTCCATTGCCTCAGCAAAGTCTGTTGCATTCATCAGGGCTTAAGGTTCTACCCATATATAAAAAAAAATAAAAAAAAAATAAATAAAGCCAAAGAAGAGTAGGAGAGAGTGAGGTATGTGAAAGGCATACAATAAGGGCAAGGTGTTGGCATTTTTGATGGACTTCATAAAAGCTTTAGACTCAGTATGGCACATACGTCAAATTATTGCAAAGAGGCAATGGAAGGAAACTATATAACACAATGAAGCCTATGTATTAATCTCTCTTTATGTTATTTTTTTTATTACATTTTATTGGTTTTCAAAATATAAAGACATACATAATTCATTCTCTTATAAGTTATATCAAAATTACATACATATTTTAGACTTACATATGTGCATACAATGTGAAGATAATTACATTACCTAAATTATCTTAGGGCAGGGTAGCATAGAGAAGGGAGGGGAGACAAAAAAAAAAACAAAAAAACTCAACTCAGGTTAGCTCTGGGTCTCAACTCCCCATTTATGATGTCGACCCTAAGATATTTAACCAATTGTCCCAGATACATACTTTTTCTCCTTTGACACAAAAATTAGAGGCAATTTCCTGTTCCATTTTGCACTGACATTTGACCCGCTCTTTAATTTTATGCCATAATTCAACCTTAGAAGTTTTCCAGTCTGTGGCAATAGAGCCTTTGAAAGCTAATATATGGATCAAAAACCATCTTTTGCTTTTCAGTAGAGGTGGTAATTTCAGATGTAATATCGCCATCTCTTCCATCCACACCTGTTTCAATCCGAAGAGTTTATTAATATATTCAATGGTCTGGATTTTTATTTTTTAAATCTGTGGATTTTAAGCGTTTGAGAATTTAGCCACCTGGCAGGGTTGTGATCTGAATTGAAAAATCCAAACATTGTTAAGTGATTCCCGATGTTATTTCCCCCCCTTCTGTCCCATAGTGTACTCCTCCGCCCCCCTCCAAAGTGCAGTATTGTTGACTTTTCATGTTATCATTACTATCTTTCATTGCGATAATCATCTGAATTGTCAATGCAAGCATGTCTGTTAAACTATGCACTACAAAAATAAAAATAAAAATTATTCAGCAAATTTGACCCGTTTTCGCCCGAAATGGGATAGGCCCATTTTCGGTGCATCCCTACCTGTAAGTTTGAAAAAAAACCATAAAACCTGTACATTAGGGGTACTGTTGTACTCAGGAGATGTTGCTGAACACATATTAGGGTGTATTTTATCAGTAACACATAACAGAAACTGAGAATCCATGCCTAAAGTACAATGTGTGTGAAAAAAAGCACACAAAAAAAAAATTACTACCCAAAAGTTTGACAAAGACTGGTGGTAGAATGAGAGCATGGAAAGTGTTAAAATACCACCATTTGAAATACCCTAGGGTGTCTTCTTTTCAAAAATATATGGTTTGATGGGGGAAAATTACATTTCAGAAATGTCCCAAATAGGACATGGGTGCATGATAACCAGATGTGAAAATTCCATGTTGGAAAACTGGAATGCACACCCTCCAAATAAGGTCTTTTAGCTAGGGATCGACAGATATTGATTTTTTTTAGAGCCGATACTCTGAACTTTCAGGCAGATATTCTGTACATTTACCGTATTTTTTTTTTGCACATTTTTTTTTAAAATTAATTAAGTGGTAAATGCACAAAATATACATGCCAGTCAGATTTTTTTTTCTGTTTTCAAGAATATTTATATAAGTGTGTGTAGTGGATGCAGTGAGAGTATTTGATTAGTAAATGCAGTGTGCGTGTTTGTGTAGTGGATGCAGTGTGTATAAATATGTGCGGTAGGAACTCTCCCCGCTTTCCCTTAGTGCCCCCCCATTCCCTTCTCTTTAGTGGTCACCCTCCACCCCAGTGTTCCTTTTCCCATCCCTGTACCTTAGTGTCCTCCCTTAATGTTCCTCTCTCACCCTCGCCCTAGTGTTCTTTCCCCCCCCCTCCCCTGTCCCATAGTGTTCCTAACCAACCCCCTTACACAGTGTTCCTTTCCATCCCCCTGTCCCACAGTGATCCTCAACACCCAGTGCCCCACTCTCTCTCTCTTTACCCCCACTCCTCTCTCTCTCTCTTTTACCCCCACCACACACACACACACACACACACACACACACACACACACACACATTCTCTCTAAGAATTCGTCGGAATATCAGCCGATAAGATCGGCAAAACCAATAATGTTGAGGTGCTTGTGGTTACAGAGATGTTAGCAGAGGTTAATGGGGTCAACAAGCGGCATGCTCCGCATATGGGTGGTCTGTCGTTCGGTAAATTATTCGGTATTCGAACTGGGCAAAGTTAACATATGTGGTGGATGTATTTCACTGAACAAACAGGCGAAGGGAACAAAGAGCTGTAAAATCCAGGGACAGGGAGGTCTGTCACAATGTATTCTTAAAGGACCACTATAGTGCCAGGAAAACATACTCGTTTTCCTGGCACTATAGTGCCCTGAGGGTGCCCCCACCCTCAGGGACCCCCTCCCGCCCGGCTCTGGAAAGGGGTTTAAACTTACCTTTTTCCAGCGCTGGGTGGAGAGCTCTCCTCCTTCTCTCCTCCTCCGTTCCGCCCGTCGGCTGAATGCGCACGCGCGGCAAGAGCTGCGCGCGCATTCAACCGGTCACATAGGAAAGCATTCATAATGCTTTCCTATGGACGCTGGCGTGCTCTCACTGTGAAAATCACAGTGAGAAGCACGCAAGCGCCTCTAGTGGCTGTCAATGAGACAGCCACTAGAGGCTTTGGGGGAAGGCTTAACCCATTAATAAACATAGCAGTTTCTCTGAAACTGCTATGTTTATTAAAGAAATGGGTTAACCCTATCTGGACCTGGCACCCAGACCACTTCATTAAGCTGAAGTGGTCTGGGTGCCTAGAGTGGTCCTTTAAAAGGTGTGTCAAATAAAATCACCAATTATTAAATTTTATTAAAATTTGGCATAGATTGGTGGTAAAATGGTTGCATGAAAAGAGTCATAATACCCCGAGTTTAATACCTTAGGTTCTTCTTTAAAAAAAAAAAAAAAAAATAATAAAAAAAAATAATAAATACATACATGTGATATATTCAAGGATTCCTGACAGATATCAGTTACAATGTAACTTGTTTTAATTTTGAAAAATAAAAAAAAATAGTTTGGAAATGGCAAAGTGCTACTTGTACCTTTTGCTCTATAAACTTTAAAAAATAATAATAAAAAAAACAAATAGTATTTCTAAACTCACGACAAAATTTACAAACTATTTAACACATTTTTTTTTGGCAGTTTATAGATGCGCAACAGATTTTGGGGTTCAAAGTTAGAAAAAGTGTTTATTTTTTTCATCATTTTATAATTTAGGATTATTATATGATGAAAATAATGGTATCTTTAGAAAGACCATTTAATGGCAAGGAAAACTGTAAATATGTGTGGGTACAGTAAATGAGTAAGGAAAATTACAGCTTAACACAAACATCGCAGAAATGTAAAAACAGCCCTGGTCCGAAAACGGTAAGAAAATTGAAAAACGGTCTAGTCACTAAGGGGTTAAAGCACTGGTGGAAGTACCACAGTCACAGGAGTCGCAGCTGCGACCAGGCCAGTCATTCCAGGGGACCCGGCCGCCCTGTCGACCCCTGGGACTGGGGTGCCTGCCAGCAATTTGATGCGTCCCTGACCGAGTGGATAAACCGCCGGGGCCGCATTGAAGGAGCCCATCGGGGCCACCCCAGTCAGCTCTGTGGCACAAGCCCTCACTTCCTCCCAGCCAACAGAGCGACGCGCAGGAAGAGAGGAGGGAGTCAGAGTGGGAGCTCTGACTCCCATCAGCATGAGGCAGCCACTGGACCCAGGTAAGTCACTATTTTTTTTTAAGTGTGTGTGTGTGTGTGTGTGTGTGAGAGAGATAGAGAAAGTCTGTGTGTGTCACTGTGTGTATGTGTCTGCATGTGTATCTATTTGTTTGCATGTGTGGGGGGTGCAGGGATGTATGGGGTGGGAGGGGGTAGACTATGGGGGGGGA